AAAAAATATAAATAATAAATAATTTAATAAAATATAATAAAAATAATAATAAACATAATAACGACAATATAAAGCTATGCATAATAAGATAATATACGTAATAAACACAATAAATTAAATATATTACCAGAAATTATAATCTTAAAAAACTTATTTTGAATCGTTCGAGTTTCTTGTGAAGTGAAATTCATAATAATCTTTTCTCGACCACCTTTTAAAACGTGATCTTTGATTTGGTTCAAGTCTAAATCCTCATATGGAAATTTTTGAAATAATAATTCCCAAAGCAGCATTCCAAAACTTTTTGTTGAAAAAATGAAAGATAAATAATTGAGAAAGAAAAGACAGGTAAAATAAAGAAATAAATGAAAATACAAGGATATAAATATTTACCTAAATATTTCACATTTGAAAGTAAATCTCACATGTCTCAACATCTTTTCAGGAGACATCCAACGTAAACTATTTGTTTCCGGTCTGTTATAACGAAAGGATTGGAGATTTGATAATTTTGGTACAAGTTGTTTAGTTATCTAACAATGGCAAAATAAAACTTATTATATTTATAAAAAATAATAAATTAACAATTATTGTTTACACACATATTTTAACTTACCATGATATTTGCGCATCTAATATCGCCATGAAGAATATCACATGTTTGTAAAAAAACTAGACCACGACATATATCAAGAGCCATTTGAATTTTTGAACGCAAACCAATATCATATTTCATATAAACTTCTTGAAGTGAACCAAAATCTGCCCATTCAAAAACCATAACATTTCGGTCTTCAACTTTTGAAAGACCATAGAATTTAAGAATATTTTTTGATTATTTTAGTTTCATTAATATGGCAAGACAAATGTTTTTTTCTTTTTTTTTTTTGACCTTTGGTTGCGTTATAAATAATACCAATAGTTGAAGCTTTACATGCGACATCTTCCTTGTTACTTAATGTTTTTTTTCATAATAATTGTTCCCATAATAGTTCCACGTCGATCGTCGAGTCTCCCAACTTGGGGATCTTTTAATTCCTTTGGATCTATCGCTATCTCCATTAATGGTGCATTAGGTTTGGGATCCTTCAATTGATTTTTGAGAATAATAATTTCCGTAATAGCCGTATTAACTTGTTGATAGGAATCAATAACATTCTCACCGATAGTACTCAAAAACTAGGTAGAAAAAAAAATAACTATAAGCTTCATAAACTTTTTTTGCTTTAATTCGTTTATAATAGGATTTACCTTTGTCATTTCTTCAAGATCCGAAATAAGACTTTCTTGATCAATTCTTCTTTGATCATCATTACATAAAGACGTTGTAAAATGTAAATCATTCATAACGGATTCAAACTCACTGATAAGCGATTCAAACTTTTCTTTGATTGAATTGGCGTGGAAATGCTTTAGAAATCCAGAAAGTGTAGAAATATTATCCATAAACCATTTTATTTTATTCATGACTCTAACAAAACGATGGAAAGCCCTAAAATATCCTTCATCCCG